TCTTTATCGTGCCAACGTTTCGATCTTTATTGAGATCATCTTCAGGGCTCAAAGTGTTTGTCTTCTGTGTAATTGTGCCATTCTTGCGTGTCGTGTCACGACTTGGGCACTCTCGACACGACACGCAAAAATGGCACAATTACACAGAAGACAAACACTTTGAGCCCTGAAGATGATCTCAATAAAGATCGAAACGTTGGCACGATAAAGAAAATTTTTTCTGAAACCTAATCACACCAGACCGCATCTCACGATTTCTAAATAAGTAATTTGCTTATCCCTAAATACCCCGAGGTTATCAAATACTCTAGGGTAGTGTGAATGTAATTTATTAGCGTGAATGAAAGGACTTACCCCAAAATAGCCCAAGGACTATCAACACTCTGGGGTAGTGTGAATGTAATTTATTAGCGTGAATAGAAGGGTTTATCCCCAATTACCCCAGGGAATACCTAGTACTTTGGAGAATTATACAATGTATGAATTTATTAGCGTAAATGGAAGGGCTTATCCCTCCAAATACCCCGAGGGTTATCGAGTACACTCGATGATCGTGACTGAATGTATCAATGTAATTTATTAGCGTGAATGGCATAGTTTATCTCCAATTACACTAAGGAATATAGAGTACTCTGGGGAATTGTAAAAAAATGTATGAATGTAATTTATTAGCGTAAATAAAAGGGCTTATCCCTAATTAGCCCGAGGAATATCGACTAATGCTAACCAGACGTTAATTTGATCCCAAAAAACGGTTAATTTGATTGAAAAAAGTAATAATCATATATTCAATTTTTTTCTTTTTTTAAGAGTAAATATTATGTGCATATTCATATATTTTCTCTTGTTTTACGAATTATGTTTTGAATAAATAAACATTAAAATGAGCTTAGGGCTTTATCGAGGTGGTGATTCCAGGTCCTCCTCCATTCTCCCTGGAGATTCTTTGATCGAGTCCAAGGAGGCAGCCCTCAAACCAGCCGAAAACCGACCAACACCCGGCCTCAGTTTTGACTTATTGCCATTAACTGATATAATTGATTTACACCCTTTTTTATAGAAAAGTCTGAAAATATCTGTCGTGATCGCAAAGAAGGCCGAAAGACCATGGCGACGAATGATAAGAATACACAAGCAATAAAATTTTGTACGATTTTCACAGATTGTAAAATAATTTGTTTTGAAAATTTTACATGACAACGACTAATTAAAACATTAATTAATATATTTTTTAATTCTAGAGATTCGGAGATTGGCGAATCAACGTACAAAGCATTTGTGGACTTTTTTCTTTTTATATAAATACAATTTGGATTGGATAGTTGAACTGTAGTGGAAAAACACATATAATCAGATCTGATTTCGGTTTTACAATCTGTATGTTTTTTGTTTGTTTTTTTCTAAAACTTTAATAATTTATGAGCTTATTAATACGGGTCTTGCAAGCTCCAATACTAACTTAGGTGCTAAACATAAAATCCAAATTTTGATTTCTAACGTTATCTAGATTTATGTTTGGAGCATTTTTAAACCATAAGACACCGGGTTACCCCCCCCCTCAAATCATAATTTTAAACCTCACACCTCTGCCCCCCTTAGATAACCTAGGAACAAGAATTATCAAAATTGCAAAATTTATATGTTTACTTTTCGATCAGTCGGGTTGTGCAATTAAGATTACACTTGTTCTACCAGAAACGTCATCCGGACGGTGGAAAAACCAGAAATTAAACAAAAAGTAAAATTCCCAAAACGCACGCTCCTCGTCGATGTCAAGCCAGGGGGCCCAATCATTTCAAAATTTATTGACAAAAATGGTTTATTTACAAACATCAAATCAAATATTTATTATAAAATTTCACCGATTTGCATAGGTATAGACAGTCGGTAATTGGTCAATCCCTTTAACATGCAGGGTTAATGGAAGATTCCGAATATTTTCAATTGTACATTTGACATATTTACGATGTTATAATTCTAGTATCAATTTAATTCTCGGTCATTGAACAAATTGCAAAAAAATATATATATCTGGTTCAGGGGTATCCAAATGGGAAGTGGCCATTAGTCCGTCCAACCTTGTTCTAAGTTTCCTTGAGTGACCTTAAAATCCTTGAAATATTTCCTGAAATCCTCGTGAAGCCAGTGTCGATCCGCATTTGTCACTCTATACCGGCGTTCACCTTTCACGCCCACTTCTCACGAAATATCAAAATATGTAAATAATTGCTAATGACCAGCTCCAAGGGTAAAACAAAAATGTTTCCTACAGTTTTCGAATTATCGTCTGTATCTTTCCAAAAACCAAAAAAAAAAAAAAAATGGATGAATACACTTCAACAATGATGATTTGCAAAAAATATAACGTGCAAATCATCTCGTCCAGATTAACCACAACTGTCTACTGTTAAGGGCGGATCGAGAAGGCCTTTAACCTCAGATGATGACTAGCACTGTTAAATCAACGAGTTTTGGTAACGGCACGACCAACCAATTTTCATAATGAACAGCAAATTTTGTTTATTTTGTATTACCAACGAGATATTTATATGATAATCCCTTGAAGACAAGCTGAAATATCTGTAGTTGTGAGATCCTTATAAAAGTCTATTTTTTTTTTTTTTTGTGATTATTGACTCTCAGTAAGGACTTTAACCATTATACATGGTGTCTTTTTAAGATGACCCGGGTGAATTTCTATTGAACCAATGACGCTATCGAAAAACAAAAAATACGTATTTAATATTTTTAGGCTAGTTTTAAATTTTTGCTTTTTTATGGAGAAAAATTATACAACGTACCTCAGGCCTATTCACCTTCAAAATTTCAAATACGACCCTATACATCCTGACACGTCATTTTAAAGGATTTTTTATGCTGAAAAGATTGATGCAATCGGATTTTAGATTGGTCAAAAAATGACAAAGTTATGGCAAAGAGTTTGGAAAAAACAATCATTTGGTTTGCTATTTATTGATTAGATTTCATGGCCAAACTGCCTGCCTTGTGTGCAGATTTGATCTTTTTAACCACTCTTCACTGGTGGTCAGAGCGAAAAAGTCAGGGGAAATGGATTGACATGCATTTTCTATCCTATACCGCAGTTCTTCATCTGATGTTACTGTGTTATGATCGGCGTAGACACTGTTTTTTAAATGGCCCCACAGAAAATAGTCAAGTGGAGTTAAATCTGGTGACCGAGGAAGTCAAACAGATCGGGCCATGAGGTCCTGTCCACCTATCCCGGAAGTGACGATTCAAAAAACATCTCACCTGCAAAGAATGGTGTGCGGGGCATCCACCAACCTGGAGAATCATTCTTTGTCTTGTTGCAGAGAAACATCATCGAGTAGAGTTAGTAAAACCTCCTTCAACGAATTAAGGAATGAGCACTAATTAAATGCCCAATTAATTTATTTCCGAGTCCATACCAAACGATAATACTGTGGACCACCTGATGATGACAAGAGTACGAAATTCTCGGATGTCCTCCTTCCACGATCGAAAATTCCAACGGTTGCCATTAGAGATGAACTTGGACTCATCAGTCCAAGAACGTTTTCTTCAGCTTCCCAAATCGACATTTGTGCAAGGAGCGTTAAACGCCTGTCATAATCAGAGTCCCGAAGTCCCTGGGCAAGATGACGATACGGCTTAAAATTGTAAGTCCGGAGTACATCTCTAATTTTATTTTTTGCAAAACCTAAAACTCTTCCTACATTTCGGAGGAATTCGGATTGTCGCAAACATACAGTAAAATATTCAGCCTATCGTCGAAATTACGCTGCCGGTTTCTTTTTGTCATAACTTTCTCTTTTTTGACCAATTTAAAATCCGATTGCACCATTGTTTTCAGCGTAAAAAATCCTTTAAAATGATGTGTTAGGATTTATAGGGTAGTATTTGAAATTTTGAAATTGAACTGGGCCTGAGGTACCCTGTATAATTTTTCTTTAAAAAAATGAAAATTTGGAACTAGTCTAAAAAATATTAAATGCATATTTTTGGTTTTTTGATAGCGTCATTGGTTGAAGAGAAATTCAGCCGGGCCATCTAAAAAGGACACCCTGTAAGGAAGAAAGGATACGTCCATTAAGTACCGGCTCCATTGAACTATTGAAGTATTTCTTGGAATTCATCGCAGTATTATCGAAGAGGTCATTTGACCAGCCTGTCCTCTAGGAGGGCTTAATTATAGTGTAGGGGGGCCAACTTACCCGTTGGGAGTCAAAATCAATTAACGTTCTTTTTCAAAATTACACTTACTAAAAAATTCCATGGGTATGGACGGGATTCGAACCCGGAACTGCCGCGTGGAAAATACCCAGGAATATTTATATTTTTATATCAATATCTGAAGTTGCGCGATCTTTATGAGAGGCGTGAGAAACTCTGAAGGATACGTCCACTTAATACCGGCTCTGTTGAAGCATTTCCCGGAATTCATCAAGTCATCACGGTATGACAGTCATTTGACCATAATGAGGTATAATTTATGATACCCATTAGACTGTCATCATTAGTTGTTGTTTTTATTTGTGGATAATTCTCGGTTTTTACGTTCGGCCAGGTGGATTATCTTCAACTGAATATTGACGTTTTTACGACGTCCGAAAAAGCAATGATTTCTAACAGATGAAGCAGTTACATTTACGACTCATTCTCATCATGAGTTCTTTTCGCGTTACCCGTTTTGAAGGATAATTGGTAATTTATTTTCCAACCAACGGCATTATAATTTCGCTTTTAAATCTTACAAATGATTATTTGTAACATTAAAGGCAAATAACATAACAAAACTAATTTTTTTTAAAAGTAATTTATCCGTCGATCATTTTGGCAAGCCTAACTTTGCTGGGTTGATCTGACAGGCTATAAGCATGAATATGAACAAAAATGATCAATTATGATAGGTTCATCACCCCGCAGACATGGATAATCTCACAATTTAACTGGCAGAAGTTAACTTTAAGTAATATATTTTTTTGTTTTTGTTTTAGGGGTGTTTACAACAATGGTCTGTGGATTATGTGCCATATCCCTGGGGTCTGTCTTAGTTGGAGTAGACCCTTATGATATAATTTTTAAAATGGTAATTATTATAACATTTTAAACCTATTGGTTAATACACGTATAATATTTCTATTATTTGTCTTGTTTTAGAAAGTCACATTTACTGAGGATGGCGAAGGATTTTTAATGTGGAAAAAACCTGACATCGATTTATATTTAAAAGTATATTTGTTCAATGTGACAAATCCAGATGGCTTTCTGCACCATGGAGAAAAACTACGGGTGCAGGAAGTTGGACCTTATGTTTATAGGTATAGTTAACTTGTATTTTTTATATGTTTTTATTTTATGTTTAATTAAACATTGCAGCAAGAGTCATAAATCATAAAGGTTTCATTGTTATATTATGCCAAAAAAGCATACTTTTATCAGACATTTCATCAATTTAATTCAAACCACATTATTATGTTTCTAACTTGACAAACTTTTTATTACTAACTGCTGATTTGTTCATTATTACTAATTTTGAATTATTTTTATTTACAAACTACTATATAACACATTAAGACAGTAATATTTTTAATTAAATAAATAAATTTTAATAATAAATTTATTTAAAAGAAAACACTTGTATTGACCATATTTCAATAAAACAATCAGGAAGATTGCTGATGTATATAACCTCAAATCTGACATGAATGTACATACATATTCATGTGTACAATGTTAAGCTATCACTTCTCACAGTCCACTGGCAATGCCAGCTTTTGTCATTTATTATAAATTACCAGCAGGCCTTGAGAGTCACCCACCCTAGGTGATGGCAGTTCGTGGTCAGACCTCGGTTTTATCTATCCAGTTGGGTTGGGCTCCAGGGGCTACCAACAGCTTGGTCAGCCCCCAACTCAGAGCAGTTCCAAAAAACCAAACTCATTCACTCCCTCTTAAATACATTCTTTCTTATTTATACACCATTCACCCAGTACTTGATATTCCACCACCACCCTTTACACCTATTATATAACTAACTTAATTAGGAGTTATAGAGTACTCGATTCTACCATCAACCCTCACACAATTCATATTTTCGCTAATAAACACATTCACCAACAACACACTATCACAAAACTATCAATACTACACATAATAAAAGACCCCTGTTTCCTCCAAGAATCAGGACAATACTCACTGTCACTCAAACACAATTGCAAATTGGGTGGAATTCCTACAGGTTCTATGTATGGAGCCAAGGAATTGCACAAAATTAGGTGGGACACATCAGGCAACCTTTCTCTGCATGTCAACATTTACGCGGGCTTTGGCCCAAAAGTATCTGTGTGTTGTATGGCCTATTCTTAAGGAAAGATGACCTCTCTTCTATGAGTCAAATCCTCCGAGGGTTATTGACTGTGCTCTTGATGCTTCTCCACCGATTCATGTTTTTTATTGCATTCTTAGCATCAGAGGGCCAGATCGCGGTGGTTAAGTTTGGAGGTTGGGACATCCCAGCCTTAGCCTCGCCTGCTTTTCGTTACCCTCCAGACCTTTATGTCCACATACCAGTTCAACAATCACTGTTTTGCCGATTTGCTCCAATTCATGGTATTCCTCCAACAAGAACACAATGAGAGGTTCAAAGACAGCAGTAACCACGATGAGGGAGTCGCTACAGACAAAGTAGGCCACAATGAGGAAGAAATGTTCAAAAATGTCTGAAAATTCATACTTGGGAAATGTCAAACTACTCATTGGGTGTCATAACACTTTACAATACTTTTTATCATACTATTCTCAATTAAAAAACCGAGAACTGCTAGCATGACAAATACAGATCTGACACCTTAACCACTCGACCACCATAGAATATATGAATAATAATTTCCAGTCTACAATATTATCCATATTACAAATAAAATTTGGATATATTTGTTTTATTATCTTTATATTTGCATGTTTTCAATTTTTAAGGCTTAGACTAGTAAGGAGAGCTCATGCTGAACCTGTTCAATAATTGGGTCCGTCTTCACTCATAGTTGAACTGCTCATTATACTATCATACTGTACACTAAAACACAATAAAATCCACTAACAGAACGTAACATAACAAAAGCCAGGTAACATAGCATCAGAAATAGCAATGGGGTTCCTAGACAAGACACCAAAATGGACAAAAGAATTTCACCACTTTCTCCAATGCAAACTAACTCAGAAGAAAAACTAATACAAAATATTTAAAAAACTAACTAACAATGACTTAATTATCACAAAAGCAGACAAATGCAATGCTGCAGCCATCACAATAAAAACAGACTTCATTATAAAAACTTTACAATTTATGCAAAACCTAAATCACACTAAGAGAAACTAAGACCTACACAAAAATACCAAAAAACATTAGTAAAAAATTACTATTAACAAACTTGCAAATTAAGACAGATCCAATAATTGACCCAATGTCAGTTCAGCCTGTGGTGTGAGTTCACCGACTCGCAGACCAACATCCAGCATCAACTCTAACAAGAATGATTTTATTTTTTATTTTTAGGGAGCGGATATCCCATGAGAACACCACATTCAATGAAAATGGAACAATAACTGCAACACCCATGCACCCTTTAGAATACGTTCCAGAAATGAGCAACGGAACGGAGAGTGATATCTTGACATTGCCCAATATTGCACTTCTGGTAAGTTCTGCAATGAAATATTATAAAATTTTTAAAAACTTTACTATTAAAAAGTTTCATCTTTTTTTTCCCTCTTGTTATCCAGAGTTTTGCACAAGTCCAATCGACATCTAATATATTTAAAAAAATGGCTGTCAACCTCCTCATCAAGCAAACCAACAGCCAGCCGCTAGTTGCGATGACTGCAAAAGAATTCATGTTTGGATACAAAACCACCATCCTCACCCTAGGAAACAAATTTATGCCCACTTGGATCAGTTTTGATAAATTAGGCTTAATTGATAGGGTATGGAAACTAATAATTTGATTTTAATGTTTTATTTCTTACTTAATTATGATTGCAGATGTATGATTTTGATGGGGATACGAGTACAACATATTCAGGCGTAAATGACATCAAAAATTCTGGTCTCCTGGCAACTTACAATCAAAAGGGGTATCTGCCACAATGGGAAGCCCCTTGCAATAATTTAACTGGAGCAAGTGATGGGACTAAATTCAATTCACTTATTAAAAAAGATCAAGATCTACTATTTTTCAGAAAGTCTTTATGCAGATCCATGTCACTTGTAAGTTGTTTTTGAAAGAATAAAATTACACTTTTACCCCGAGATAGGTAAATTATTTTTTTTTTATTATTTATAATCGATGTCATATAATATTTAGGTTCGCATTGGAGAAGAAGTTATCAAAGGAATCCACGGATACAGGTATGCGTTTAAGAATAATAGCTTAGATAATGGAGCTGTACGACCAGAAAATAAATGTTTCTGCCATAAAGGCCGTTGTCTTCCTGCTGGAATTCTTGACGTACAAGAATGCTACTATGGTAAATATTTTTAAATTTTAAACACTGATTACAATTGTAACACTTTTACAATTTTTTTCTCCAGGATTTCCAATTGTTTTATCCTACCCGCATTTCTACCAAAGCGACAAGTCAGTTCAGGATGCTGTTGAAGGAATTCACCCAAATAAAGATCTGCATTCGACATATTTTGTCATAAATGAGGTGATTAATTTTGTGACTTAAAGAAAATTCCACTGAAATTAAGTTTGGTTGTTTCTGATCTTCCTGGTCTGCCTGTCCTCATGATTTGGCATTTGATCATCGGCAATAGGCAAGTTGATCAAAAACGAACACAAGATAGGTTCATTAACCCACAGATCGAACCAGGCATTTAACAAAATACAAGGTGTCTCCAATTCAATGCAACACCTACTTTCTCAAAAATGAAGTATTTTAGAAAAAAGGTTTAAATGTTAACCCTCTCAATAGTTTTTCCCAAGGATCTAAAATAAGCGGTATAAACATTTTTTTCATGTCATGGTAATAGGTTAAAATATAATTTTCTGTTTAAAAAACCAAGATTTTTTAATATAAAAAATGTCACCAAGAATAATTAAAATGGTTGCATATTTCTGGAGGTATTTTACACTTGTTCAAACAAAAATAAATATTTTCGGAGTTTATATCAGGTGGCATGCCTACACGCTTTCTATATAGAGCCAAAGAATTACACCCTTTAAGAAGATGGGGCACATCAAGCATCCTTTCTCTACGTCCCAGCTTTGGCCCAAAAATATCTGTGTGTCAACTTTGTATGGCCTATTCTTAGTCAGAATTCTTAAATAATACTTAAAAACTAACAACAATTTTTACTGTGTACTGTGTATCATCTTAATAAATGTAAACAAATATTATTTTTCTTTACTATTTTTGCTTTTGATAACAGACGTAAGTAATAATTAATATGTCATGAAGTAAAAATGGTTAATAACAATGCCAACAGACCTTACAACGACAGTATGAAGTACTGTTTAAAAAATTTAAAAAAAATACTAATACGATTTAAAAAATGTTTTCTATAACCTTTCGTTTTCGAGGAAAGTAGGTGTAAAAATAGGCCAGTGGCAACGATTAGAATCAAACCCATGACCGCGGGTTCTACGAGCCAAAATTCTAATATGCTGGTCACCATAGTCCCCAATTTAATGAGTATAAAATAAAGATATGAAAAAAAAAAAGAAATTCCCAGATTTATTATTGCAAAATTAAAATGATTGCCTGTTGCCTCGGATTATCAGGCATTGGCTGACATTTAAGATTGATGAACCCTTCTGCCTAATGTAGAAGCAATTTGATGACCATTTTTTTAAATTAATGGCTATAATTAGCCAAAATTGGCCAAAGCTCATAATCGATTAATTGTAGTTTGGAATTGTTTTTGTGGAATGGGAGAATGAAAAAAGGTCAGTGGCAACAGTTGGAATAGAACCCACAAATGCAGGCTCTACGAGCCAGAGTTTAACATGCTAAATACTCAGCTACCACAATCCCCAAATTAATGAGTGTAATAAAAATAAAGATGTGAGAGAATAAAAAAATGGATATTGCTGGACTTACTAGTGCTGATTTAAAGAACAAAATATATGCGAACAATATGAGAAAGAACGTTAACATTATTACTGTAACTTTTTCAGGATTCAGGTCTTCCTTTAAGCTTATCTGTAAAAATGCAGATTAATATGGCTTTTACTGATTTGTCATCAATGTCACACGTAGAGCAGTTCAGTAATTTGATTTTACCCATGCTTTGGACTGATATAGTAAGTTTTTAAACATAGTTTCAACAGTGATTAATTATTGTATAATTAATAAAATATTCATAAATTTTACAGACAATGAAAGAACTGCCTACAGGCATGGCTTTTAAATTTTATCTGTATTTGACACTTGGGCCGATACTTCAAGTTGTAACAACTTATCTGCTACTGATCGGAGGGGTTGCTTTTATTCTCCTTTCCTTGGCGAGTGCAGTTTTGATACCTAAGCTGAATCTTACATCAAGCAACAGGGCTCCGCACGCAGACGCTGATTGGAGGAGTGAACTTCCACTGGCGAAAAAACGATGCCCGGGCCCTTCAAGCCAGCCCAACAACAAAGAAATGGAACTTTACTACTGTTCACTCCTTGCAGTCCAAAATGAGGAAATGTAACGTTAATTGAAATAAGCCACTAGGCAAATTATTTTCTGTGATGAGGGTGTGTCAAACCTAGTATTAGATAAAGAATATGCTAGTACTAATGCTCAATTGTGTGAAATCCATTTCAACTTTTTTTCAAACTAGTGAAAATTGTTGAAGAACTTTTCTTTCTAAAACAACTAATACAGGCATTGAACAAAAATTACTCTAGCAAAGTGATAGACAGTAAAATAAATTTTTACTCGATCACTGAACTTCACACTGGAGCAGAAACATTACTCACTAATACTAGTTATTTCTAATGAAATTCCTTCCTCCATTTTAACTGTGAACTTATATAAAAGCCATGGTTGGACTCATAAGTAAAGAAGACTGTTGAGAATATTAAATAAAAGAATACATTTATTATTCAAAATGTTTAAATAGCCTAAATTAGTTATTCTTTTACCATTAGGGTGTTTATAATAGTTGGAATTTAACAATAAATGTTATTGGAATGCAAGAGAAACCATCTTGTAACTCTGGTTGGAGGAAATCAATATATTTTGTATAAAAACAATTATTTTATATGTAAAAAACAAATTTTAGATCAAGTAGTTTTTTAATACATTTTAGAAGGGTAGATTTTTTTTCTCTTTGTCGTGATTTGAAAAAAAAACTTATATACTAATAAGTAAACTACTCCTATTTAGCAATTTTTTCAGTCAGTTAGCATGTGCAATAAGCATGGAATAACTTTTGTTTTTATAAAGCATTCACGATTAGTTGGCCCCAACCAGGGTCATTGTGAATAGTTTAGAACATGTAACAATAAGCCTTTTACTGTAAATATAATTTTTTACCAAGAGATTCTTTAGGATTTTGCAGGATCTGTTAGATTTAGTTTCATTATATGTGATATAGAATTAAGTAGGCTTTTAATATTTATGATCGTTTTCTTTTTTGTACAGGTCTCTCTGTTACAGCAAAAAGTAAAATTTAAAAAAATATATCCATTTGTTTTTAAAACTCTGTTTTAATGTACATAGCCAAAATTGTTAAATTGTATATAGTTTTAAACAGTTTTAATGAAATTGAGTCAAATAAAAAGTTAGAATGTAAACAGTTTTAAAAAAAGAACGTTTTTTTAAATTTGTAATACATATACTAAAATCTTTGCCCAATTTTAACCCTATTTTTTCCTTCTTCAGGGTGGCCAGCCCTCCCTTTCTTCCATGGCAATTCTTAATTTCCAAACCTCAAAAAATGCATTTCTCTTAATGTAGTTGAGTACTTTCCTCTTCGCTTATTTCTTGGGGTAAGAAGCAACGTAGAACATTCCAATGTTTCTGCCTTAAAAGAACAGTCTTAATGGCTAAAAATAAACCTCAATTACTCTTCTCCCAAAAAATATCCATGCATAGACGTACTAACGTCCCATTTATTATTTATTAATTATTTGTAAGAAAGCGCTAAAAGAACTAATATTAGGTTGTATAATAAGTCTAGTGTTTTCAGTAATTCCATTTTATCCATTTTGTGTTTTGAATCAATGTTTATTTAGCTATTTATTGTTTACACACTCTCAAAAATCTTTTTTGAGATTTTTAGGGGTTGAATAAGGATTTTAAAAATCCTTGCTTCCACTGCAACCTGTATAAATATTTAGTGGAACCCATATAAATTATAGGTATACCTTGGAAAGCGCACTTTTTACTGTAAGATTAAGCTTTTTCCTCGATGGCTCTTCACACACTTCTTTTGGTGTGAGAAGTGCCATACCGAAGTAGTCGGGCTAATGCTTCACATTCGCAAAGGATATGTGCCAATATCTCTGGTTCCTTGTGACAAAGTTGGTATGTTTCTGTACCTCCATTTTCCATCTTTTTCAGGTATAGCAAAATTTAATGTTGCGCATTGAGGATTGGACAAGATTATTTATTTTGAGTTTATTTCGCCCAGCCAAACTGATTCTAGTGTATACTGCTAATTAGGCCAATCAAATTCACCAATTGACCAAAAAATGCCTAATGGCAAGGGAATTGTTTGCCACCAGAATAACACTCACCTCCATTCGCCCCATGCTAGAGATTCTGGGTTCGAATACTGACAGAGCCCATGGCTATTTAATTGAAAATGTTATGAAGATTGTTTTTAAAAAAATATTTTTCTTGGAGGCGTTTGATTCTATAGATCATGCAATATTTCTTAAAAAACTTTTCAATATTGGTATCAAAGGATCAGTTTATAATTTCATGAAATCTATATTTGTTAAATAGATCTCAAAAACTAAAATAAGCCAACCTTTTAGCAATTCCACTTATATTAATTGTGGTGTTTCACAGGGAAGTGTTTTAGGGCCTGTACTATTTTTAATTTATATTAACAACTTAAACTAAAACTTTCTAGTAAAATATTGAGATTCGCTGATGATACAGTTACACTCTTTCTGGTAAGTATTATGATGATATGATAAAAAGTATTAATGATGCAATAACAGATTAAAAAAATGGTTAGATAGTAATTTCTTAATTTTAAATTCTCTTAAAACTAAAATTATTAAATTTAGTCTCTCAAATGAAAACAGTATTACATTCTTGTGTAAATTCAATTAACTGTAATTGCCCAGTTATATCCTTTTCTAAACAAGTTAAATATTTGGAAATAATTTTTGATAATAAATTAAACTTTACATTTCATATAGATACTTTAATAAAAAAAAAAGTTTAGAAAATTGTTTTATAAATTTAAACTTTTAAGGAATATTCTTTAGTCAGATTTAATTTAAGTTTATTTTGCATTAGTACATTTCTTGATAACGTATGGAATCTTAATTTGGAGTGGTACCACAAAATGTAGAAATTGTCCAATAATTATTGCTAAACAAGACATGCAAGGTACTACACAAAACAACTCTACATTGATTTTAAAGTGTTGAAAATCAAACCATAATTTTTGAAGTCTTCATATTTATAAGCATAAAATTTTTCCCATTATAGACTTCAATTACACTGAAAGACCAAATGCGTTAATAAAATTTATTGTTCCTAAAGAAAACACTTCCACGCCATTATAACAATGCATATAAAGTAGGATTTTTCTTTCTTTACTTTTTTATTGATATTTCTGTAAAACAATTAGAACCGTAAAAATGATATAAGAATAAAATTGAGATGAAAAAGCATGTAAGAAGAAATCACCCAGTGGTGAGCCTCCTTTTGAAAAATAAATATGACAGTGTTTTTAATTTTCTTCGTCACTTAGGGAATCATGTGGCCATTAGCGTCTCAGTTGGCAGGGAAGATTATCTGGTATGGTAGTGGAACTGAGCGGACGAACCAAAGCGTTGGGATGGGTGAAAAGGGATTGATTTGATTTTTTGTAATTACTTTTCAGAACTTCTGGAATACTTGGTTGACCCCCAGAGTTTGATACCAAAGTCCACGTAAGCTTGAGAACCATGGTATATATTAATCTTTTGTAATTGAGTGGAAGTTTTGATCATCTGTTGAGTAGTGGTGATAACAGTTTGGTTGTCTGTTAATTTTGTTTTAGTTTTGTGAGCGAATTCTGAGTAAGTTGTTTGTCCAGGTAGAGTTATACATCTGAGTTAGAAGTTAATGTATTGGCTTTTCGTTGGATGTTTAATTTTCCACATTTTGGACCAAACATTGAAACACTGCAAATGGTTTTGAAGGTTTCTCTATGCAGTAACTAGAACGTTAAGTGAAGAAAGGATTACTGTATCGTCAGCAAAAGTGGAGAAAATTGTTTCTGTAAAGATACGAATGTCAGCAGTATATATCGTGTAAAGGAGAGGTCCAACAATGCTACCTTGCAGTACACCAGCTTGGATAGGATAGATAGAGGATATTGCAGTGCCTTGACTAACTCTGAAGTAATGGCCAGATAGATTCATTTTTAGGATAAGGTAGTAGGTACTGGGTAAGATGGACTTCAGCTTCCACAGGAGGACCGGGAGCCAAACCCTGTCAAAGGCTTGAGCAATGTCAAGTAATACACCCAGACAACATTGCTTCTGCTCAAGGGAGAATGAAATGACATCCACAAGGCGAAGATATTGATGGATTGTAGAGTATAGGGACCTAAATCCTAACTGGTGACCCGGATTAGTTTCTTGGGATTCTAGATTTGTAGATTTCTAGAAGAGTGACAGGTTCATTTGTTTTATGGGAAATTAATTGAATTGGAATTATATAGGAAAATTTCCAAATAGCAGGGGAGTATGTTATTCATAGGACGGAATTAAAGATGTAAGGAAAACCAAGGCTTTTCTAGGTAGACACAAAAGGATTTGCACGTAATCAAATCAAATTCAGGAATCTTTTTGAGGAGGAGATGACTGATTACAAATGTAAGTGTGCAGCATGATGATGGTCGATAGGTACTGGACAAAAAGTAAGGATTTTTCTTCGTCAGACTTGACCCAAGGGAAGAAGTCTTATATGAAAAGATACGTGATCACCTACAGGGAATTATTATCACGTTGTTTGTTTTTGAGGTTTTGTAGCTCACAGAGTTGTCTGTTGAGTCAATTATAGGTTTGCTTGTCTGACGGGAAATGTAGGATTAAGATTCATATATCAAACCAAAATTGATATAAATTCCTTTATCCTCTTATGATCAATTTAATTTTTTAACACATATTTTTTACACGATTAAAAAAGAGAAATTTATAAAAGTAATATAGTTATAAATTAAAATGTTAATAGTCTAATAAATTGGATGTATACAGCTACCACTAATTTGTATAAATCTCTTTTTTTGTTTATTTTTGTAATGTATAAAATTATTTATGAGCTCACAACTGCTTCCAAGCACAATTTAAACTTACGGGAACAGGATGTTCATTTTACATTATTTTTTATACATTACCATTTAATTTTTTCCCCAGAATAATGTATTTAATGTACAGCAAATAAATTCATTTTTGTCTTTAAAAAAGTATTATAAAGTGGTTTGACCTGAATCAAATAATTCAATACTTGTATTCAAACATGCTGAGCTCCAAGCAACATGGCTTTACCACTTCAGGCAAATACTACTGCTGCACTATGGGTAGTAAAAAGCAAAGTTGAAACTGGACTAGAATCAAAAGAAGTAGCATTAATTTTATTGAATCAAGGAGCTTTTAATGCCAGATGGTGGCCAGAATTATATCTGCTTAGAATCTTTCACTGCTTGAGAAATTTATTTAATCTAGTGAGGAATTATTTTTTAAGAAAGACAAAAGTTCCTATGAAAAAATTTTTGGTGAAAAACAGAAACTGACAGACCAAAGCAGTAGGCGAACCAGGATGATAGAAAATTACCAAATTACATGTTTATTACTAGGTATAGTTTTATATTGTGGGTTTGTGTTGGTGCCTCACCCTGCTTCTTAGCTGACTTAACCCAAAGATTTGGGTTAGTTTCTCTGAGGGTTAGTAATTAAAGGTTAAACACTTATTTCAAAATTGTTAAAATGTTTATTATCTATATTCATTCACTTCAAACATTTTGCGCATCACAGACAAGAGAAAAAAATGAAACCATTTAATACAATTTAAAATGATTTTATTTGCATCTACATTCAATGGTTAGAAATATAAAATTTAATTTTTTTTAAATTTAATATGTGAATAAATGATGTAAATTTAGGTACTGTAAAATTATATAAAATATAAATAATATATAAATTTAAATGAAAAGTAAATAATTAATAATTTGGCCTTATTCGGCGATTGGTGCACTTTCCAGCTGTGATGAGATCGTTTCTTCTTCTAGATTCTCAACATTATTATCATTTTCCCCACTAATATTCTGATCTTCAGAAATAGACAAACTGTTTTCTTTTTCACCTAGGAGGTTGTATTCAATTTCTTTTTGTACATCTTTACCGTTGCTGTCTGTGCAAGGGATCTCGGCACTTTTGTCTGTACTGTCAACTTCAGAGCCTTCTTTTCCATTTATGTCACACACATTTTCACACAAAACTGAAATACAAAAGATAAAACAGTTAATGACAACACTGTAATATAACATGTTTATTTTTATTTTTGGGAAAGAAAATTGTTTATTTTTATTAATTCCATTTTTGTATATAAATACTGCCATGAGAGATAATCCATCCAACCACTGCCTCATTATTTTTTCAAGAGTCTTCACCCAGTTTTACTTGAGCCATGGACAGTAGTCCTTTTTTTAATATATTTTAATTAATTAATTTTTTTTGCAACACTAAACCATCCATTTTCTTTGGAGTCCTTTGAGAAGATTGAAGATTAATTTCCACACAGCAAGACATCGTTGAAAAAGTGGACTTCTTACCTAAAACCTAGTCTTCTACTATGCTTTCCTGCCCACAAAAAAGGAAAACTCCTGGAAATTGTACATCAGAGTAAGTTTTCTTTTGTTATATTTATTGATATTGGTTTTATTTATTTTTTTATTTGAGTTTTTATTTTTAATATCTTTTCTGCCTCTCGAATAAAACGAGTGGCAATCCAGGTACAATCGTACCACAATCAGAGTTTTGAATTATATTTATGAGGACTATGGTAGCCAAGTGGTCAATGTCTCGACTCATAGACTTCGCAATCGTGGGTTCAATCCCCAATTTGGTCGTTACCAATCATTTTGGTCTGCTATCCTCGCTGGTTTTGTCTGTCTGACTCATTCCGGCATTCTGCCATCTTCAGCGTTGTGCCATCTAAAATTGGACGGGTATTAAAGTACCCAGCTATCAAGTAAAAAGTGAAAGATTTGAACTTAAACTCAGCACTCCAATTGTATAGTCTTAGTTTATGCAAGAACAGACATACTAATTTGTAAACTGTTTCATATTCAATGATTTTATAAAGTTGTAAAAATTTGACAACAGCTAAACAGACTTTAGTGTTATGAAATGAACTTTAATTTTTAAAAATAAATAATTAAAATTTTATATTAAAATTCAGCAGTAAGACCAAAAAAGAAGAAAACACTCAGTTTGTCAGGTTTGTATTGGTGCCTCACCCTTCTTATAACCCTGACTTAACACTGAAGATGGCAAAATGCCAATAGATCTGACAGAACAAAACAGTGAGACTAGGCGGACCAGAATGATCATAAAATAACCAAAGTAGACATTTATTTGAAATTTGGTCGTTTGACTTTATAGAAAACTTTCGAATACCATAAAATGTATTAACCGTAATTGAGGGATTGATCCAAGTCTATATGCGATGGTGTCAGAGAAGAACAACAGGCTGTGATAAACCAGTAAGTCTTTGCAGGCTCCAGAAGACTTTAAGTTGATGGAACATTACTACAGTATACATATTGGGCATAAAATTCTCATAAAAATGATTCTTTCCAAACTTGGCAAACGGCTCTGCAGTAAAAAAAGCTTGTCATACAAATGGTCTTATGAATTTTTGTTTTTGACCAAGCGTTGAAGATGGCAAAATGCCGAAATGTACCTAACAGACCAATCCAGCAAGGACACAAAATGATCAGTAATAGACAAATTCCATATACAAAATTACTAAATTGAAGATCTTGTTGACGATGTAGTGATTTTGTTTGAAAATGTGATTGTACCTTCAGTGGGGAGCGTCGATTCTAATTCTGTTATACGTTTTGTTTCCTCTTCTTGTGAAGTATCAATTTCCACTATTCCATTAGGTTCTTTACTTTCAGAATTTTCAGGTGTTTTATCATCACTTTCCTGTGATGGTTGTTGATCACAGTTCTGTAAATATATAAATAAAAACAAGTTATTTAAAAGGGAAATAGTTTAGAGTTATGAATTTTACATTGGATGGTTAATCGAACAATGGTTCATTGTGCATTTTATTTCTTACTCAACTAAGTTGGCTTGTGCTTTTCACTTTAAGTATAAGTCATACTTTTTTTTAACGAGGGTATTTCAACTAAGGGTTATAAACCCTTGCAGAGCCGAAGTTTTTGAAAAAACTCATTTGTTAAGTCTGTTGGGTTTGAATGCAGGGCCGCTGGATTCGAATATGAGACCTTTATAGTTTACCTAAACGCCTAAACCATTGCAGCCACCAAACCCCCAAACTAAATTAATTAGAATAGTATAATAAAATTTTAACATCCATCTTCTTTATTGGCTTGTTTTTCTCTAAGCGATAAGAGAGTAGTCTGCATAAATGCTATGCTACTTATTCTTGTGTAGGATAAGGTGATGTTTTAGAATTCAATAAATCAGAAAATATATTCTTCATTTATTTTAACAAACTTCTGTCTTTTAAATGTACACTACCACAACAAAATCTTAATTAATTTAACAAGTCAGTCACAACTCTAAATCTTGGATGAGTCTATTAACATAGGGACTTATCCCAAATGACGCTTGCCACGATTAGCGTCCACAGTATCCTCAGTGCCTTTCCGATATCTTGACCGACTTGACCCGATGGGTCACAATGGCTAAGTCCCCTTGTTGAGTTCCAGACGGAGTGTGGCTGCTTCTATTCCAGATCGAGTCCTGGAGTCGACTATTCTCAGTGACTAGTATGAGCTCTTGGTCTTGATTAACCTACGATTTTCAAATTATCTCTATTTGTACCAGTTTGTCTACAGGAGTTGGGGTGGAAAGGAAAATCAAAAGTCAGGGGAGTTCCCATGTCACAGGTGGTGTCGTGACCGCGATTTACAATGTACCGTGTTGCTCCATATTTTTGGCTTTGTGACAACCCTTCAGCACTAAATAACTCAATGTTAGTTATTTATTTGATTACTTGTCCAACTATTGCAACTTTATGTTTTCTAGGTTCATGGGAAACATCCCACAGCTCCCATCTGGTCTGCGACACCCTTCGACATTCTAATTTATTTGACCAACTCTGTAATTACTACAGGGCTAGGTTTCCCTGGTTTTAGAGAAACGTCATGTCGCTCCTGTCTAGCTATGACACCCTTCGACCAACTGCTTAATTATTGCAGAGTTGTTTCCCAGATTGGTGGGGACATCACATTGTTCTCGTCCGGGTGATTGCCCCTTCCAAGTTATAACCTTTTTGTGTGGTCATTTTGTTGTTCTTATTTTAATAACTACAACTTACCAGGGACCACTTATAATAGTATAACCACCTGCAATAAATCTTACAAAACTCACAATTACTCTGCAAATGCTTAATGTGGATGAATTTTAAACTATATTATTAAAAAAATCAGTTATTACATTTTCTATTAGTAATGATTTATAAATAAACTTAATAAATTAATTACTCACCTGTATTTCTTGATCCGATTGCAGCCAATGAACTGAAAATAATAAACAACTGTGTTAAAAATTGGAAAATTATTAGATAACATCTTATGGAAATTTAAGTATAACTTGGGGACTACGGTAGCAGAGTGGTCAGTGTGATCTCTTGGCTTGTTGATCCCGTAGTTGTCACTACCCTTACCCCAATAAATAAATATGTTATACTACAATACTCTACTCTGATGAGTATGACTTCATTTATGAAGAAATAATAATAAAAATACTTCTATTTAACAGAAATGATCATGTTTTTTGAGCAGATTTATAGTTTTAACAATACAATTAATTTTATTGTTTAAACAAGTAAAACAATGAGATTGAAGTTAAAATAGAATAGTAATATTATTGTATAGACATTATAGTATGTATTATCTTATTATTGTCACTGTTTACAAATCTCTAGGCCATTGTCTCTTTGGTGTACAGGCAGAGTCAGATGGAATGTGGCGGGTTGGGAGTTTGTCAACTGATGGATTTGTAATGATAGAAAGTATTATTTTAACTGATCACAACTGATTGAATTACTTCTTGGACAAAGGAAACATCAAATTTTTAAGTGTAGTTTCATTTCACACATAAAAGTGAGCTTCCAAAATTTTTTATTGAGTGATTTGAATAAATCACATGAGGAAAGGATAATGGAATGGGGGACTGTAAATATTCTTTGATAATTTGTGATGTCTATGATGTAAGTGTGTGGAATGAACACTGTGGTCAGGTGAGAGGCAAAAGCAGTTGCTTTTCCCTCATCTGACTTGGCCCAACAGCTGTCAACCTGGTGAAGCAGGATAGATGGTTGGTTTTTATCTGCCGCCTAGAGGGATGTATTATATAATATCTCACTTAATCCACTCAAAATTATAAAAATTGAACCAAGGAACACCTAATAGTTTAAAAAAATAATATTTTATACTAACCTAACAGTTTCTGTCCTTTATAATCAGTTATGTATTTTGTAAATAATGTCTCATTGACAATTTCAGAGCTGCAAACAAAAAAGAACATGTGCACCCAAAATGGGAAAGAACATTATCACTAAATATAATATCTTAGGATAAAACCTTAAACAATATTTACATAATTTTTCAATTTTGTTGTCTGATCCAGTTTGATAAGAAATAGTAATTTTTTAAAGACTGCTATGTTAACTCTCCTTTAAAAAGTTTAGACAAAAATTCAAGCTGGATGGCATAGTAAGGGTATGTCTACAAAAATAACAAACAAATATTATACTGAGCAATTCCTTAATTTCCAGTTCTGAGATTAGAATTTGGATTCTACTCACTATTATTAATTTATTATATATATTAATAATTGTTTATAGCGGACTGTGGTAGCCAGGTGTTTAAGCTGTCACGCCAATAGTTCTGGGTTTGAATCCCACCCAGAATAGCCCGTGTTTTTAATCAATCATAATATGAAAAAAGTATTGCAAAGTTGTTCTGACTGCTCGTCCACGACACTCAATGAGTAGTTGTACGTAAAGCCCTCTTATACAACAGGAAATACTTTATTTTATTATTAATTCTTTATATTTATACCTACGATCAACAACAAAATTGTTTTGGTAAAGTATTTAAACGATGTTATATTTTAAACTAATGATTAAAAAAAAGCTGGAGTTTATTGAAGTAATCAGCCTTTTTCCATTTATTTTTATTCATTTGAGCCACATTGTGGCTCGTCCTTCAGTATGTTTCAAAAAATTCCCGATGCAGTTAGAATAAAAATAAATGGAAAAAGGCTGATTACTATAATAAGCCAACTAATCCTATATAATTAATGAAGCAGCTGAGGTAACCAAGTCTTCAAATGTATAACAATAAATAATGTTACCTTTAAAACAAAGATATCACCTGTTATTCTGTTTTTCGCTATCCTCCTCTTCATTTGATACATTATGCACTCTGATTATCTTTCTTCTGAAAATGCATACAAAAATTTTAATTTATCCATATATGTTTAGCGGTCATAATTGATCATACTAATTATTGGTTTTATCTAAGGTTTTAGTTGAGATGAAAAAGTTAGTGTCATGAGTGGGATTTGAACCCACGTCTTTTGGCTCAATGCGACTTCGATCCATTTGGATCCCAACTCTTCATCTCAACCTACAACCTTTCGAATTTTCCCTCTTTTGCCATTTTTCAAATGTATGTAATCAGGAATTGATTCTCAGCAACTTGTGAAGTGGTCACAGGGAGCTGTGGGTTCGAATCCCGAATTTTTCTTCTTAACCAAGACATTAGATAAAAATAATATTTAATTGAAATTTGTATTTGTATTGTATATGTAAAAAAATGTATACATCAGTACATTCTGAAGGTTATTCTAACATATTGGTACACAATTCAAAGAATGCATTGATGCCATAAACAATCATTACTCAAGCTGCAACCACTACCTTTATATGTGAAAAGGATGGTGTGATACAGGAACTAAGAATTCATCGAAAAATCAAAAGAAAGGCAACTAACGGGTGCTACCCATACCAAAACCTTCGACAAAGTTAAAATAATGAACCTGGCTAAAACTGTCTCTGGCCTATCACAGAAAATCTCAACTTTCATAATCAAAATAATCAGTGCAAAGAGATCTGACTGGAAAATAAAGAAAAATAAGACAAACCTTCTAGAGTATAAGGATAGCTGAAACATGGGAAATGGTATGGGCATGAGGGGCCTAATTTTGAGCACTACATCACCCCACCACAACCATCTTTAAAACCTAACTGTGCCATAGAAACATAGCACATGAAATAAATAATAAACATCTCAAATACGCAACAAATAACAATTCTTTCAGAAAGCCAGACAGCTCTAAAAGTTCTCCAAGCATACATGATCACCTCAAAAATTGTCTGAAACTGCCTAATTCCCTGAAAAACTAGGATCTGACCAGTATCGACTATGTCCATAAGAGAAAGAATCGACAGAACGTATCCTATTATTGCCTGTAATAACTAGGCAAAGGCTGTGGTCCTGGGAAACCTGTCCTTGAGCCATACAGATCTAGACACCATACTCCTGAGAAAAAAAGAAATGAAAATCTTCCAGGAAATCCTATAGCAGAGATCAGCACAATAGGCTAAAGTTTCAGTGTTAATATCCATACAACTCCAAATGACAAAGGAAAAACTCCACATTGGTGATATGTATACCTAATGTGGGAAGTTTAGGGGCTGAAAAACAGTGGTCATCACCGGCTGTCTGCGTGTTTTTACTTCTTTTTCTGAGTTTCAAAAGTATTTTCTAACTAACAGCTATTTGTCTGTCTCAATGTGTAACTGACTCTCTGACGATATCCTAAAATTCTAGCCCCACATTTGTGCCTCAGGTTGTCAACTGCAGAATAGGCACAAAACATACAGTATATTTATATAGATCACCACCCAATACAAATATAGAAGTCTGGTCACATTCATTCCCCCAGAGTACTTGATATTCCTCGGAGCGTGGTTATACAACCCCTACCTTTCATGCTAATAAATTAATTTTACTGTCTAGATGTCACACACTTACCCTAGAGAACTTGTTATTCCTTAGGGCAGGTTATACAACCCATTCCTTTCATGCTGATAAATTACTTTTCTCCCCAGACATCAACACTCACCCCAGAGTACTCGATATTCCTCTGGGTAGAGGTGAACCCACTCCATTCTTGCTAATAACTAACTTACTTTCAGATGCCACATACTCACTCACCCCAGTGTACAAGATATTCCTATTATAAACACAACACAGGCCCAACACAAACACAAAAAAAAAACATTGTATATATTTAAAAATCCCTATAGCCCTGAGGTACCAGAATAGTGAGTGCCTACCACCATTCACCAAGATTACAGACAGTCTGACAATACATAAAAATATTGCCTACAAATGGCAAGCCTTCGATTGAAAATTTGCTTGAATGTCATGTTATTCTTGTACAACAGGCACCCATACGATCACTTTCCTGCCAGGTGCCCAATGAGTTATTCCTGAATGACTTATGTATGATCTTTTCAATCCTTTCACCCTGGTCCAGAGACTGACATATTTCTATTTTATGAGATTATATATATATATTATCTTTGTATCATAATAATTAAGACCAAGTTTGTTTATTAACTACTGTTTAATTAAAGGGCAAAACATGCTAAAAACCCAGCATATTGTATGCAATGGTAGTAGGGTATATGGTATACAATTACCTCTTTTTATGCGGTTGCCTAGGAAAAAAGATTTCATCCATTTCTTCATCAAGTTCAAGTTCATTGTCCATGGATCCAATCCTAAAGAATTGCTGAAAGAGTAAAACACTTTAGAATTTGTTTGCAGTTCTATCATTCCTGATTGTATCGGTCAGTTTTTCTCACTGTAAAAATTACTTTGAAAAATATTCTCGTTGTGAGGTGATGAACTTGTAGCTCGATTGTCTATGAATATTTAAGCTTTTGTGACTCATTTGAACATCTTGCCATCTTGGCACACCAATCACTGCAGACGCAAAATGGTCACATACCAGCGAAAATAGAGTGGCAGACCAGGATGATTTTGGACAATTGACCTATATTGATTTTTTGGCAAATAATATTTTTCTATCGCTATTGAATACAAAAATTATCCAGTAAAAAAAAAGCGACGATCTACCCGGACCACCCCCAAAGGGCTCTACCCAATACATCTGCTAATAAATAAATATATATATAACCCCTTCCATCCATGCTAATAAATTTCTTTTATTCCCCAGGCACATACTCCAGAAAACTTGATATTCCTCTGAGCAAAGGATCTACCTCTTTGCAACTGAAGATTCATTCAGATACGGAATTTCTCACAACTTCCCCTGGATAATCGTATATAATATGTTGCATTGTCTTGGGCTCATCATGTTTCACAATTTTTGGAGAGTCTTAAACTAATTCTATTCAGATAAACCCTACATATGCAGTAATTGGACCTAATTCTAATAATAAAAAAAATTCCTTGCTTCCCCTCATCCAGGAAATGTGTTGGGGTCAGGAATCAAAGACTTTAAAAAACCTGCCTTATCACTGTTCCAATTTTTCCATTTAGTGTTTTAGTTAATACTTTCCTTATATCAGATTTCAGCAATTTAATATTCTGGACTTCCTTAGCCAACTTATCAACTACCTCGTTATGCATCCTCCACATGACCATGAAACCAACCAAATGTTACTTTTTTATCTTGGTCATACGTTTTGCTATTTCTGTCACTAGGTAATCACATTTAGCCTTAGGAGAAATTTTTTTATTTGAGAAACTGTGCTTTTGCTATATAATATAGAAAATTGTGGCAATATAATCCAGGGTTTTTAAAAGATCATACATTTCTACCAAAAGTATAGATATTGTTGAGGGAAGCATAATTTTACTACAAAATCACTTAGTAGTATCATAAATGGCACAGCCGGCTTTATGACTCATTATCGAACCATCTGTAAAACTCAAATGGTTATTGGGCAGTCGATTCACTTCCTCTTTGAATAAAAAATTTGCATATAATCAAGTTGGTAGACGAGGTGGGGCTGATTTTTACATGAATTTTTATACATTTTTCTTCAATATCTTTCTGTCTGAACCAACTCGGCCAATGATGAAATTTTTGGATCCCAGAGTTGTAAATTTAGTAATTTATTTATGGCTAATTTTTTCAGTATAATTGTAGGAGAAGGCTCCCCTGCTTCCACAGAAAGGATTACTTTAGGTGTGCACCCAACCCAGATGAGCACACCCAGAATCCGTCTAATACATTATTATTAATTATTGCTAAAGGTGTAAATTTTTTTCAGGTCCGCAAAAAAAAGCGAACCGATATCCAAAATTGATCTAATCGAGGATTTGTAAAATAGTAAACCTATCAAGAATTCAGCCCCCTGCCATCTCATGCCAGTGAAACTGCAAATTACATTATACAATTTTTCGCATTTTGCTACGGCGTTCTTAATATGTGTAGTTCAAGACAATTCGGCGGTCTAGAGTTAAACATAAAAGTTTACCTGGAATTTATATGAAACTATTTTTTCATTGGTAACTCTACTTTTCTTCTTCTATTGAACAGGCATAACACTGATATTGTTTCTGATATAACTAATCCATTCTTGTTCAACCAATCCTTTAAAACAGGAATAAAATTAACAAGTTTGTTCAAACATTGGGTTCTGGAATCGCACACGACATAAATACACATATCGTCAGCACATTGTATTACCTTAATTCTTTCGGCTATTATTTTAAGTCTGACTTCAATGCAACAACTCCCCATCACCCTAACTTTATTCACAGTATGACATTGCGACGGTGCTATTTAAAAAAATGAAAGTTCAATGTCCTTGCTATTTTCATTTTAAAATTGATGTCATAATTTGAGCAAACAGAAGAACATGATAATATTTATGTACGTTGTTAATAACAAGTTTTTTTGTTATTTTGTTCAGAAATTCATGAGTTTTAATAACAATTAATAATGCTGATTTCAAAGAAAATTCACCAAAACACCGGCAAATCATTTGCTGGTAGATTAAAATTTAACTAACCCCTGCTGTGCAGAGGGCCTTTAGTCTCCTAGTCATTAAGTAAATAAGTGATCAAATTTTGTCTTGTGAAACAGACTCCCTTTCTGCAACAAGAGCAGTTTGAAGCAGTTCAACACTTGTTGGAGAAGGAAAATCATCTGTTTATCATGTCCCACAAATGTTCTATCGGACACAAGTCAGGAGAACATACTGGCTAATTCAATGTAGTAATCCCTCCATACTCTGAGTAATGGATGAAAACTCGGTCAAGCACTATCATGTATTAACACGAAGCTGTCACCACTAAATGGGACCACAATTTCAAGCAGAACTTCCTCAATGTACCTTAGTGCAAACAAAGATGACAATCAATTCGTACAGATGTTGATTTTATCCCATACCATAACTGACAGCTTTGAAAAGGCTGAATGGCACATGAAGTCAAAGCATACTGTCTTCTTCACACCCGGTCGCAGGCTATCTGATTGCTGCTATCCAAACCTCATCTGAGAATAAAACAGCCTCCTATTGTTCTACAGGCCAATCAAGTTGCTGATTTGTGAATAGTCCCTTTTTACTTGATGCCTCTACAGTTCTATAGAACCTGATGCAGGTCATCTAGAGACTAGGCTATTCTCAAGAAGCCTTCTGACCCACCCTTTCGGACAATTTGGACTACCTATCAAGGAAGCCATTAATTGACAGTTCGGTAAGAGCAATATACACAGTTGTAAAATGTGATTAACCAGTAACTTCTCTTCGATTAAGACTTCTGGTTGCACTAAACTGCTTTAGACCATTATGGCTGGTAGAATACGGCACACTGTGTAACCAATGCTATGACCATCATTGGCAAAAGAATCTACCTGGAGATCTTCCTGACTTAAAACAATGTTTTTAAGGAAAAATATAAAAAGTGTAAAGGATTCGAAACACTATAAAACACGTTATTAATGTTGTGTTTACGTTTTAAGTCAACTATTAATCATTATATCTAGTTTTTATAGAAAAATAAACAAATAAGTTCAAATGCGTTTTTTTTTGTGTGTGTATTTCACTAGGTCTTCATGCCCTAAATTTATGAATTTATTTATGTCTCCCAAGAACAATATTTTATGGATTTTCATGTTATTTAGCCTTGGATACTGAAGCATCACTTTTTGAGACACCTTAAGCAAGACTTTTTAATGGTAGTTATGAACAACAATGTGATGTTTTACCAGCCTAAAAGGACATGATAACTGGTGAAAGTTAAAAGTCAATTTTATGGTAGCAATTAAACTGCTTGTTATTATTATCGTGAATGTTATATTTAGTGTAATATAAACAGTGTTTAATGTGTAATTAAATATGTACATACTATTAATATTGAAGGACCTCTTGCAAATATGAACGCCGACAGCACTGGCAATTGTTTATTCGGACCCTTGTTTACTTTCAGGGATTGGCGACTTTCTACGGATCGGATAACACTATTGCAACCTACCAATGCGAACTGTCTACCAAGAGGTTACCATTAAAAGTCTCGAACATCTTCATAGTGACGTCATAGAGTTAATGCTGGTTAGTTTGTTCCTCGTTTTTGAACATCCTATAAAGGGGACCGCGGTAGCCGAGTGGTTAGCATGAGAGACTCTCACGCCGCGGTCGTGGGTTCGATTCCCACCGTTGCCCCTGGCCCTTTTTTCCCAATAACCCCCCAAATTTGAATACACATATACGATTTTGTCACATGGCTAATATGCATAGTTCATAACGCCAAAAAAAAAAAAAAAAANAAAATAAGTTAGTCAATTTCTAAAATAAAAAATATTGACTTCTGATTTATATAAGCTCAAATTTGAGCAGGCATATACATACATAAACGAGAGTAGAGCCTTCTCGCAGTCCATCGGCATTCTTTTCAAAAATACAGTTTCTACTCAGAGTTTGTTGTTTTCAATGATCCGGATTTCAAGCTTATAGCTCATCATTCTAGGAAGGAGTTCGACAACCTGATGATGAGCTATAAGCTTGAAATCCGGGTCGTTGAAAACAACTAAATGTGAGTAGGAACTATCTTTTTAAAAAGATTGAACAACACCCTCACTCCACCATTTATCATTTCTATGACCAACGGAGATTCCAGATGTCATTTATAATAAATTACCAGCAGACCTTGAGACTCATCCACCCCAAGTGTCTTATCAGTTCAGCAGCCGAACCTGGGCTCCAGGGGCTAGCAACAGCTAGGTCATTTCAGCCCCCAAAACAGTTTTAAATCAATTCACACTCTTATATATATATAATATATATTATGCAGAGTGGGCGACCAAGACCCGAGGGGTTAAATGCCTGGGTAGACTCGTCCCCACCCCTAAAAGGTCCGGGACTTGGTTGGCTCACGTGTCAATTCACACTCTAAATTACATTCTTATTTATTTACTCAGTTAGTAGGCTGTGGAGTACTTGATATTCTTCCATCACCCTTTACAGGCAGAGCCACCAATGTTTCGAATCACCTCTTAAAGAGCAAATGAAGAAAAAAAACATGTTTTATTTCACTCTTCAATTTTTTATTCGTCAAAGGCATGACGTGGCCATCGGCTGATGATTGATTATCTGGCGACTGAGCTCATGGACCAAGGCAATGCAATGCGTGGAAAGGGATTGGTGGAAAATTTTGTAATTGGCTTTAAAATGCTGGAACAAAGGAAATATCATTCTCGGTATAGAATGAGGTTTGATACATAAAAAGGAGGGTTAACATTTTTTCTTAGGACTTTTGATTGGAATCTTTGGTTCCATTGGGAGTTGACACAAAAATTCGGCACGACAAGGCAACTCTATTTAGTTTGGAGGAATATGGATCGTCTGTAAGGTAATAGTGATAACAATTGGTAACTTATTTAGTTAATTATGTTTTAGTCTTTATGTTATTTCAATTAAGTGATTTTCCAGGTGAAGTCGTACGTAATCACCAGGGGATAATGCATTTCCGTTATCCTGGAATCCTTTATGCTCCACAGTAAAGCGAAATAACGATAATAAAATATCAGATCAAGACAAGGGAGCATTCTTAGTCCCATCCTGTTGTCCATTTACATTGCTGTTCAACACATACCAACAACATCATTACCGAATGATCTAACCCAAATCCTATCCCAACAACTCCCAACATCCAAGAACAACTTCAGTTTATCAAATGGTGAAAAGTGGAGGAAAACACCGAAGAAGGAAAAATATACACATTGAAGAATTACAGTTCTGCCCTCTATTGTACATACTTCGACCCTTGTTAGATATTTAGATACCTAGACAGTAGACGGACGTGGAATTCCCACCCAAAATCTAAGAGACAAAAACAACAGAAGATAGGCTAAACAACGAAACTTTTAGCACCAAAATCTATTTTGACCGTCTGTACTAAAACGTTATTACTGCGACCACTTTGGACATACGCAATGGAACTGTGGGGTTCAGCAAATTTCCCACATAATATGTGTGTGTGTGTGTGTTGTTCTTGATGTTGTAAATATGAAAAATACCTTCTTTTTTTTAATTAGAACCATTTATTAACTAAAAAACGTGCGTACCTACGGCAAACTTCAACATCATCCCAATTCATAAGTATTTTCCCATCATGTGGTTCTTATTTTTTTTTTTTTTTTAAGTCAATATGGTATTTTTCCTATTAGACCATCTTTGCCTCTTCTTAGTATAGCAAGATCACATGTGGTTGCCAATTTAGATCTGGGGATGTCATGGATGTAGCACAAGTAAAGAAAAGGCCTCAATACGCGTCCCTGCGGAACTCCAGCTCGTATAGATCTTGTTACCGAAATGACGCCGTCTTGTTTGATGCTTCTATTGATCAGATATGACCGGGCCATCTAAAAAGGACACCCTGCATACTTTTATAGAAATTTATTGGAAAAATCCCAACCTCTAATAGAGAGAAGTTTGGGAGCTGAAATTTAGTATCTTTCAGTTACAAAAACAGGTACTTTACATTTAAAGTCTAGAAACAGACGTTAAATCAAACTCAAGGGAGCATCAATCGAAAAATAGTAACCTTTGTAAAAATTTTTATTGGTTTTTATTTTAAACTAAACTCAAATTCAGAATTTGACGTTAGCCACTGCTGTAGCCCGCGAAGCGAAGAAAGAAGCTTAGGAATTTCCCTTTTATCACGACTAATCCTTTTAAACTTGACCTGAATATTTAAACAGCAACAAAATGAACCTTGTTATTTTATACGTTACACTTTCGGAAGAGGTTTAGAATTTGGATAATTCACAATGCACTCGTTATTTTAAGATCTTAGATCCGATTAAAGAGGTGGAAGTGTCAAAATGACTGCAGATCACACACAAGAGCAATTTAGGCATTTTTGAATTAAGACTACGACTTTTGATCATTTGTTCATAAGCAATCCAATTTCTTGCAGTTAGCAAAGGCTATATAAATCTTAATGCAGACGTGAGAAAGAACAAAAGAGCAAGACAAATAGTTTTCGAACAAAAACTATTAGTGTAAAGTATATAAATTAAACCCCAATCTTGAAACGTGTTGTGCTTTGGCTTTGGCGAGACATAGTCTAGATATTCTGGAATTTTGCCCATAACAAGAAGCCCAAACGAACTGTGCTAAATCGAATTTCTAAAAATATTTAATTTAATTTTTTGAATAAATAGAAAGTAGACATAAAAAGGAAAATTGGATGTGAGGGTGATATTGCAATTGAAAATTATAACAATATAATTTTTTTTAATGAACTTTAATTATAATAATGGAGTTATAAACGTTTATTAAAACCTTTCCAATAAATAAACACTACGTAAAGTATTTAATAAATTGAAAGAATATTCTTATTAATTGTTCTTGTTTATTTTTTTAGAGACTGCTTGATGCCAGAATGATTGAAGCCTGCTAGATTATTAAATAACCCACAGAGGAGCCAAGTCTCAGTTGAAATGTTCAAAACATTTTCGCTTTACAAACAAAAAATTATTTATGAGTTATTACGTCAGCATAATTTCGTGTTTTTGACCGCTCGTGCTTTTGGTGAGAGGTCTTTGGAGAAACAAAATGCTGACAGAGGCGGCGCCATCGTTCAGAAGAATCAGTGTTGAATAGTAAAATACGTTAACATATAAATTACAAATAAAGACAATAATAAATGTTAGAATTTATGAAAAGTACAGGGTATTCTCGCTACGTCGAATATCCGTCAAGCCCAAGTATGTTTCGGTTGGCAGAAAGGAAAATTTTCAGTTAAATTTAAAAGATAACAATGGTCGGTTGTTCTGTCGGTTCTAGACTGTATTGCCGAGTTAGGTGCACTTTAAACAATAAATTCTGAGGTCAGTGAGGTGATGAAACTATAGTTTTGTCCTTTCCGTGCCCTTTGGTCTGTCAGACAGACCATCTTTGGTGTTTGGTTTTAACTGAAATTATCATTCAAAACTGAAGATGGCGAGAAGCAGAAATGCATCCAACAAACCAAATCAGCGAGCATATACATATAAATTTGGTCTATCTATACATTCATTACTTCATAATTGTCAGTTATGACCCCACCCTGGGAGTCATGGCTCACTCTATGTGGAACCACGGCGACAACGGGTGGTATAATGTGGTTGAGACTCGAGACCCCGAAACGGCTCACCTCGTGTTCTCTTCCACGGCCCTGTTTTTCAATCCGAATTCCTTCATTCTATCCTGTGACCCCTCCTAACCCTTGGTTACAAGGGGGGTATCCGGGCACAAAATAATGGTGCAGCCCAGGGGGCGTGGCAACCTCTCTAAAGCACAAGATGTCTTATGTCGGCCTCAGGGTCGGCAGGGGCGGCGGGTGCCTTAGCAGAGTCACACGAGGGCCAGTGCACCAGATCCTGTCTACAAAGACGAAATGGCCATCTGTACCACGGGGTGACTCAACGTTTCAAAAACCAGCCCTGAGTGACATTGGGATGGACTCGTGGTGGCTTGTGGTGACGCCCCTGGCGGGAACTTAGACAGAGGCTGTCTTCTATCTGGGACCTTTCGTGAAGCTTGCGTATGGCCAATGTATTACCCCCGTTCCTCACGGGAGACGTTGCGACCGGACGACAGCATGTAAGCGTTGAGGACGTCATGATCATGCTACAGTCCCTCGAATGCGTAAGTAAGCGATTGGAAAAGGGTAGTGATATCGGCGGTCTTTGACTCGAGTATGCTTTGCATTGTTGTGCGTATGACCGGCGTGGTACCCTTGGGGAAGCGAAGGATCGGACCACCTAGGCTAGACCTATGGCGTCCCTCGATTACGTGCAGCAGGTGTAGGCTGAGCTCGATATGAGACCTTTTACCGTAGACAGTGCTCATCTAGGGGGTGGGTAGCAATCCCACTTTAATCCGAAACCGCTGTCGGGGCGTTCCCGAAAGTTTCTACGCTAGAGGAGCCTCTACCCTCAGAGAGATAGAGTTGCCTTCTCTATCTAGGGAGTACGCGAGGGGTGGGGGGACGGGCTGATGTAT